GGCACACCTCGATTCCCCAGGCTCCAAGGTGAATTCCTGGAGACACCAGCTTAATCCTTCTAAAGATTAAGCAATTTCCAGTCCTACCTGGGCTCTAAAAGCACTTGAGGATTGCATGCAAATCTTTATGCTCAGGCCCCACCTGCAGAGATTTGGGTTTACTGACCCTGGGGTGGAGCCCCTAAAACTCCGCATAAGATGACAATATACAGCCATAGGTGAAAACGCCACTAACTCAATTTCATTAATGTCTTCCTGTCTCGCCCTGAAGCTGCAGACTTATCCTTGAGGGGTGCTTTTTCAGACTCAGGTGGAATTTCTGAAACCATTTAATTTAAAAAATTTAGGCCCTTTGCTCCTCCCATTCGGCAGGCCACCAAGTCTTCTTGTGTGGTACCAGCAGCCATCTCTGAGATGTGTGACTTTCGCACAATGGTGAAAGTCAGAGTGAATGGATTTGACCATATTGGGCGTCTGGCCACCAGCTCTGCTTTTAACTCTGGCAAGGTGGATACTGTCACCATCAATGACCCCTTCATTGACCTCAACCACATGGGCTACACGTTGCAATATGATTCCACCCATGGCCCGCTCAATGGCACAATCAAGGCTTGTCATCAATGAAAAGCCCATCTCCATCTTCCAGGATCAAGAGCATCATATGGGGTGAATCTGGTGCCAAACAAATTGTGGAGTCTGCCAGAGTCCCCACTGCCCTGGAGGAGGCTGGAGCTCACTTGGTGTGGAGCCAAGAGGGTCATCCTCTCTGCCCCATCTGCTGATGCCCCATGTTTGTGATGGTCATGAACCATGAGAAGTAGGACAGCCCCCTGAAGATTGTCAGCAACGCCTCCTGCACCACCACCGATCTGGCCCCCCCAGGCCAAAGGTCACCCATGACAACTCTGGCATCACGGAGGGACTCATGGCCACAGTCTGTGCCATCACTTCCACCCAGGAGACCGTGGAGGGCCCCTCTAGGAAGCTGTGGTGCATAATGAGCAAAGGGCTTCCCAGAATATCCTCCCTGCTTCTGCCAGCACTGCCAAGACTGTTGGCAGGGTCACCCCTGAGCTGAATGCGAAGCTCGTTCATGGCCAGCTGTCGTGGGTCCTGGATCTGACCTGCCGTCTGAAGAAAGCTGTTCAACGTGAAGACATCCAGAAAGTGGTGGAGTCAGCATCGGCGAGCCCCCTCAGGGGCATTCTGGGTTACACAGAGGACCAGCTTGTCTCCTGCGTCTTTAAAAGGGACACCCAGTCTTCCACCTCTGCTGTGGGGTCTGGCACCTGTTAAGCTCATTCATTTCCTGGTACAACAACGAATTTGAGTACAGTGTGGCCTCCAAGGTGTAAGAGCCCCAGACCACTGGCCCTAGCAAGAGCTCAAAAGGAAGGGCGCCTGGGTGGCTCAGATGGTTAAGCGTCTGCCTTCGGCTCAGGTCATGATCCCAGGGTCCTGGGATCGAGTCCCGCATCGGGCTCCCAGCTCCTTGGGAGCCTGCTTCTCCCTCTGCTTCTCTCTCTCTCTTCCTCTCTCTCTCTCCTCCTCTGTCTCTCATGAATAAATAAATAAAAAATCTTTAAAAAAAAAAAAAAAGAGCTCAAAAGGAAGACAGAGGCCCTCGGCTGCTGGGAAGTCCTTGCCCCAGTTCAATCCCCCAACACACAGAGAATCTCGATCCTTCACAGTTTCCATCCCAGACACCCTGGAGCGGGGGAGGGGCTTAGGGTTTGCCACCTTGTCACTGCCATCAATAAAGTACCCGTAAATAAATCACATATGACATTAAAATACAAGTGAAATTTTTAAAAATATAAAATAAATAAAATATTAAATTCAAGATAAAATAAAACAAAATTTAAAAGACAATAAACAGAATATAAAATATGAAGTGAAATAAATAAATAAGTGCAGGGAAACCTCTGAAGAGAGGAGTGAGCTACTTCAAGAAAGGCTTGGAATATAAAGATTATCTTCCTTTTGTCTTTTTTTTTTATCTTTTTTTTACTTATCTCTACAGCCAACGTGGGGCTCAAATTCACCACCCTGAGATCAAGAGCTGCATGCTCTTCTGACTGAGCCAGTCAGGTGCCCCTTTCCTTTAAAAAATAAAATAAAAGCAAGTTTTCTGTAGCATTTGGGTTCTCCTGAGGCCAACCTAGAACACTTGCTCCTTTCCCAAGAGAGGGAGGAAATTGTCTCCAAAGACAGAAACAAGCAAGCTATGGGTTTAGCCCCTTTGATTGGACTGATGGTAGCCACTTGAGGGAAAGCAAGCTTTTGCACCTCCGGTAACTGGACTTTATGTGACACTTTTTTTTTTTTAAGCTTTATTTATTTAAGTAATCTCTACACCTGACTTGGGGCTCGAACTCATGACCCCAAGATCTAGCCGCACACTCCTCCAACTGAGCCAGCCAGGCACCCCTATGTGACAATTTCTTAGTGGCTTTTTTTTTTATTGAGGTGAACCGCACTTAAGTAAAATTAACCATTTTATTTTAAAGATTTTATTTATTTATTTGAAAGAGAGCACGAGGTGGAGGGAGGAAGGCAGAGGAAGAGGGACAAGCAAACTCCCCTCTGAGCAGGGAGCCCAACTCGGCGCTCGATCCCAGGACCCAGGGATCATGACCTGAGCCGAAGGCAGACATTTAATTGACTAAGCCACCCAGGTGCCTCCAAGTTAACCATTTTAAAGTCCACAATTAGCAGCATTTAGTGCAACCACCTGTACCTAGTTTCAAAATGCTTTCACGACCCCAAAATAATCCCTGTGCTCATTAAGCAGTTCCTGCCCATTCCCTCTGGCCCCAGCCCATCCATCAACAGATGAATAAAGAAACAAATTATGGCAGATCTGTGCAATGGAGTATAATTCAGCCACAAAAGGGAATGAAGGATCCCCCTTGAAAACAGTATGCTCAGTGAAAGCTGGGACACAAGAGGTCACATGGCGTATGATCCCATTTATGCGAAATACCCTCAATACGTAAATCCAGAAAAACAAAGCAGAATGGTGGCTCTTTTAAAATCGGTTTGAGGGCACCTGGGTGGCTCAGTAGGTTGAGCGTCTGCCTTCAGCTCAGGTCATGATCCCAGGGTCCTGGGATGGAGCCCCGCGTCGGGCTCCCTGCTCAGCGGGAAGCCTGCTTCTCCCTCTCCCACTCCCCCTGCTTGTGTTCCCTCTCTCGCTGTGTCTCTCTCTCTCAGATAAATAAAATCTTCAGAAAAATAAATAAATAAAACCGGTTTGACACTACCAGAAGATGAAAAATTATGGCTTATAAACTATGGCTTGGTGTGTCTCATTCACCACTAAAGACGTATTCACTGCCTCTCAGATACATTATTTGCTAATCTGGTTAACAGGAGATGAGGCTGATTATCTGATGATGATGATGATTATTTCTCATTGTCTGGTCATCATGTCTCATCATGCCTTTTTTTTTTTTTTCTTGAGAGGATAGGTGAATTGGTTGGATGCTTTCTGCTCCAAAACACAAAACCCAAGACACAAGGGAGGCAGAAATCTAGTTATAAGAAGTAGGCTTGCTAGAAGCGCTATTTCTTTTTTTTTTAATTTTTTTATTAACATATTTGTATCGGGGTACAGGTCTGTGATTCATCAGTCTTACACAGTTCACAGCGAGAAGCACTACTTCTAACGCATCGTTAGCCCCTTTATTTTAGCATGTTTCTTTCTATGCAATTATCCGTGTTAAATCACTGTTCTTTGCTTACTTGTGGGTCCCCTCGGCTCCCCCAACTTGATTTAGGGGCAATAGCACCTCACTGGCTAAAGCAGGGTAACCAGAGCAAGATGGCCTGGGAAAAATACCACCTCTGCCACTTACTGGTTATGGGACACTGGCCAAGTCAATTAAATTTCCTTTTTTATCGGTTTCCTCATCTGTAAAATGAGATTAAGTGGATTAAATAAATTTGAACATGTAGGTGCTTAGAACAATGTCAGGCATATCCTAACCACTCCGCATGCTACCAGAGTGACTCTGTTATTGACAGCCACCTAACCAGTCCCCATCATCGAGCACCATCACCTGGGAGCTCCTCAGGTAACATAATCCTCAGGCCCCAGCAACCTGTGTTTCAGCAAGGGCTCCAGGTAATCCTGAGCTCCATCCTGCACAGACGCACTGATCTGAGGCACGGCGATGCTCCTCGGTCTCTATGGTGCACTCAAATCACCTGGGCTCTTGGGAAAGGCAGACTCAGACTTGGCAGCTCTGCAAAATCTGCCTTTGTTTCCGGTTTCATTGAGATGTGCTCTAACCCGTGTACAAGTTTCGAAAAGTTGCAACATGACTCCTTAGCCATCGTTAGTAGCTAAGCCCTCCATCCTGTCACATACTTACCATTTCTTTTTTTGTGGTGGGAACATTTAAGATCTACTCATTCAGCAACTATCAAGTCTATAATACAGCATTTTTAGCTCTAGTCACCATGCGGTACTTTAGATTACCAGAACTTGGGCGCCTGGGTGGCTCAGTTTGTTAAGCAACTGCCTTCGGCTCAGGTAATGATCCTGGAGTCCCGGGATCGAGTCCCGCATCGGGGGGGGGGGGTCCCTGCTCAGCGGGGAGTCTGCTTCTCCCTCTGACCCTCACCCCTCTCATTCTCTCTCTCTCTGTCATTCTCTCTCTCTCAAAAATAAATAAAATTTAAAAAAAATAGATTACCAGAACTTGTTCATCTTATAACGGGAAGTTCGCACCCTTTGACCAATAGGCGAAGATTCTGCCTTGAGCAAGTTCCCAGGTGACGATGACGCTGCTGGGTGTGGACTTCACATCAGACAAATAGCAGACGACCAGGGGCTTGAGGACCCAGGGATCAGATTAATGGATTGGGGGGCGGGGGAAAGCGGAGGGGTGGGACTGGGGTGTGGCTGGCTGCCGAGGAATATATTTAAGTCTCCATGCCACCTTTGCCAGCTCTTGACACCGGACCAGAGCATGGGGACCCAGCTAGATGGGATGGCAGGCACAGGGGACCTTCCTAAAGGTAAGCCGAGGGATGGGAACTGAAGGACGTTATGTGAAGGCGTGGAGAGTAGCTAACTCGGGTAGTAGAGACGAGGCTGTCCTCCAAGGGCAAACCCAGTAGAGGGAAACCCAATTCTGTCTTTGAATTGCAAATCTTCCCCTTGTTAGCTGTCTCACATTTCCGCCGATCCTTCGGAAATGGGGCCTCAAACGCTTTGTCAAAAAGAAGTGAGTGAAGTCAGCATCGGCGAGCCTACTGGGATGATTAAGTCAAAGAATGGAGGCTTAACGGAGCAGTCTGGTTAAGATTTCTGGAAATCTCATTTCATCAAGCATTTACTTGATTCCCCGGGGTTGTGCTAAACCACTTTCAGGCACAACCAACCATTAAAATCTTTTAAAGTGGTTACAACCAGGGGCGCCTGGCTGGCTCAGTCAGTGGTGCGGCGTATATGACTCTTGATCTCAGGGTCGTGAGTTCCAGCCCCACAATGGGTGTACAGATTACTTACAAATAAAATATTTTTAAAGATTTTATTTATTTGACAGAGAGATAGCGAGAGCAGGAACACAAGCAGGAGGGAGTGGGAGAGGGAGAAGCAGGCTCCCCGCTGAGCAGGGAGCCCGATGCCGGGCTCGATCCCAGGACCCTGGGATCATGACCTGAGCCGAAGGCAGACACTTAACGACTGAGCCACCCAGGCGCCCACAAATAAAATATTTTTTAAAATAATAAAGCAGTTACAGACGGAAGTCTCAATTTTACAGAGAACGTTGAGGGAAATGATGTGCTTGCGCCAAAGCCACACACAGCGGGTAAACAGAAACGCTAGGACTCTCTGTCATAAACACTGGAGCCCAATTCAATAAACCACACTAGTAAGTATGTGTTGGCCACTGGTTCTCGAGAGACGGAGCATAGCACAGCCTCAAACCCATCACTTAATCTCCCGGTGCCTCAGTTTACACATCCGTACCAACCACATGGGGAACGATGAGAATTGAGTCAGTTAATATTCACAAAGCACTTAGAAAAGTGCCTGGTATGCAGTGAGGCTTTGGATTTGTTTGTTTTTGAGGAATGAAATAATGGACATATAACATTGTGTAAGTATAAGGTGTACAATGCACTGATTTGATACGTTTATACATTTGATATGATGACCACCACCTCTTAGAAACACCTCTATCACAACACATAATTACCCTTTTCTTTTTGTGGTGAGAACATTTCAGATCTAGTCACTTAGCAATTTTGCGGTTTATACTAGAGTACTGTTGACTGTAATCACTGTACCGGGCATTTGATCTCCAGGACTTACTTATCTATTAGTTGCAAGTTTGTACCCTATAAGAGGGTCTCCCCAAACCACCCACCACCCCCTGTGCCTGGGAACCACATTCTGTTTCTACAAGGTCAGCTTTTTTAGATCCCACGTATAAGTGGTACCATACAGTATTTGTCTTTCTGATTTATTTCACTTAACATAATGCCCTCAAGATCCATCCGTGTTGTTGCAAATGGCGGGATTTCCTTCTTTCTCTTGGATGAAGACTCCATTCCACTGATGAATGTATATAAATATTTATATTCATATACCTTCTGTATCCATGTAGCTGTCAACAGGTTGTTTCCATGTCTTGGCCATTGTGAATAAGGCCGCAGTGAACCCAGGGGTGCAGACTTCTTTTTGACATAGCGTTTGTTTCCCTCAGATATATTTGCAGAAGTGCAACAGCTAGATCATATGGCAGTTCTATTTTTATTTTTTTGAGGAACCTCCTACCTTTTTCTCACAGATTCACAAGTCTGGTCTCACTCACAAGACCACAGCTAAGATAATTTTGCTAGTTCTACTCATTACAAAGATCTTCTTCCCAGTTTGAATCACTCCCTTAAGGAAACTTTGAATAAAATTTCTTAATTATAAGGTAGTCAAATGTATCCTTTTCTCTTTCATGGTTTGCTCATGTTGTGTCTAATTTCGAAATCCTTCCCTAGTCAGAGGTCATAAAGATAGTATCCAAAAAAATGTCCTTGAACAGTTTTAAGCTGTGACTTTCTCACTCAGGCCCCTGGGGTCTTATGTCCTCTTGGTTAATTTCATCCTTAGATATCTTGGAGTTTTGGGTTGCTTTTGTGAATGTCGTTTTTTCTTCACTTTTATTTCAAGTTGAACATAGCTTGTACGGAGAAATGCTGTAGGTGTTTTAACTAGCAAAATTGCTTAACTCTTCAATGGTTCTAAAAGCCCACCTGTTGATTCTGATGGATTTTTTAGTAAATAATCATATTACCTACAAAGATCCATTTTATCTCTTCCCTTCTGATCTTAATACATTTTTCCTTTCCTTCTAGTGGAACTACATTACACTGTGAGGGTGCTTATAAATATCTCTTTCATGCTCCTGACGCTAAAAAGAAATGCACGTTTTTTTCCATTAGGTATATAATGTTTGCCAGAAGGATTTGGTATATAACTTTCAAAGTGTAGCAAGATGTTTTACTCCTTGATTTGTTAAGATTTTCTTTTCCAGGTTAAAAAAAAAAAAAACTCTATTGATGTGTAAGTTATAATAGAGTCTACCCATTTTAAGTGTACAATTCAGTAAGTTTTGACAAATGTGTATGCCTATGAATCACCATCCCAGTGGAAACCCAGAACATCTCCATCACCCTAAAAAAGTTCACATCCCAGTGTGGTCATCATTCCACACCCCTATCCCGACCACAACACAACACCTCCACCACTAGCCCCAAGCACTATCTGATCTGCTTTCTTGCCCCTACAGATTATTACTTTTGCCTGCCTAGGATTGCATGTAAAATCGACATATAGAGTATAGGCTCTTTTGTATCTGCCTTCTTTGGCTCAGCATGTTTTGGGGATACATTTGTGTTGTATGTAGCAGTAGCTTCTTTTTAATAGGTGAGTGCTATTCTGTTATAGGAATAAAACACAGTTTGGCTAGCCATTACTTGCTGATGAATATGGGATTTTTTCCCCCCAAATTTTGGGCTACTATGAATAAACTGGTAGGAACATTCATATACTATAAGCCTTTTATGGATTTTTTTACTTCTCTTACATAACTAGGTGTATATCTAGGAGTAGAATTGTGAGGTCATAGGATTATTTGTATATTCTGGACACAAATTTGTCTGATACACGCGTTATGAGTATTTTCTTCCATTATGTGCTCTCCGTTTCCCTAAGGCGGTCTTTTGAAGAACAAACGTTTTATTTTTGATAAACCCAATTCATCCATTTTTACTTTTATGCTTTGTGTTCTTGACAGCGTTGCCTGACCCAAAGTTTTCTCTGAAGTTTTCTCCCAGAAGTTTTAGAGTTAGACTTTATATTTGTGTCTGAAATCTTCCTGGAATTCATTTTTGCATATGGCTTAAGATGAGGGTGAGGTTCATTTTTTTTCCCATATGGATATCCAGTTGATCCAACACCATTTGATTTCTTCTTTGTCGCATGTTTGATTCAGAAATGTGTTTAATCTCCAGACACCGGGGGAGAGATGTTATTTTGTTACATATTTCTATCTTAACTCCACTATTTTCAGAGAACATATTTTGGATGACTTAAATCATTTAAAATGTCCTGAGACTTGATTTGCGGCACAGCATACACTCCCTCCGGATGAATGAACCATATGCACTGGAAAGAATACAACTTCTGCCATTGCTGGATATAGTGTCCTATAAATATAAATAATCAAGCTGGCTCCTAAGATTTTCATAAAATTTCCCTTATCTCAGGGATCACAGCCCTGCACATCTGAAAATAGTTTCCTACGTTTGTCCAATTTTGCTTTTTAAAATCATAAATAGGTGGTGAGACTTCACAGAAAAAAAATTTTGCATTGATCATGATAATTATATTATTTTTATGCCTTAATTTATTAACGTGGTGAATTTTCTGATATTTTTCTTTCTGATACTAAATATCCTTTCCCTTCTGAGATAAAACTTACTTGCTCTTGATATATTTACTTTAAAACAATGTTGGGTTCAATTCACATAGTTCAAGGACTTTTGAAACTATGTTCCTATATTCATGGAATATAGGCCTATATTCATCTTTTCCTTTTTCCTGTTCTTTATTTCTTTATCTTTCCTTATTGTCCTTAACTGGTAGGGAGTCAAGGCCACATTGACCTGAGAAAATCAGGTGGATGACTTTGAAAAGGATGAGAGGAAACAGGATAGATGGGTATATGCACCATCTTGATTGTGGAGATGACTTCTTGAGTGTGTCAATATACACATAAAATGTACTGAGATTGCATACTCTAAATATGGAGTTTATTATATGTCAACTATATCTCGATAAAATCATTAAAAATGCATGGTGAAGTTCAGTTCAGGGTCTCATGTGGTTGCCAACAAGCCGTCAACAAGGAATGCAGTCAGCTAAGGCTGAACTGAGCCCGGACGATCGATCCACTTCCAAGATGGCTCATTCACAACGTTGTTGGCTAGGGGCGTCAATTCCTCACTGACTTTAGACCTCAGGTCCTTGCCAAGAGGGCCTTGCCGTAGGGATGGTCAATCAATATGGTTTCCCCTGAAGCAAGTGATCCAAAAGAGGGAAAGTGTCCAAGACAGAAGGCACAGATACTTTTATAAGCTCAGAAGCAACATCCCATGGCATTTTCTGTACTCTTACAGGATACCCAGACCAAGTCGGGTACCATGTTGGATGGAAGTGCTCCTCCCCTATGCAATAATATTCATCTCTTTATTGTTCCTCAGGGATTCTGCATTTCCCTTCCTGCAGATAAGCACATGGCTCACTCCCTCACCTCCTCCAGAAAGACCTTCACTCATAGGTCATTAAAACTAAAACCCCCTTACACAAATTCCTTATCCCCTGTCCCTAATTTTTTTCTCTATAAGAGTACTTAGCACCACATAATGTACTGTGTACTTTAACACTTTTGGTTTGTGTATATGTAGGTCCTCACTAAATGATATCCATGACAGCAACGATTTATTACTATTAATGGACTATTTTTGGAGCAGTTTTAGCTTCACAGCAAAACTGAGCATAAGGTACAGAGATTTCCCTTATACCCCTCTCCCCACCACACACACACACAGAGACACACACACAGAGAATCTAAGAGTGGACACACAAGGGGTCCTTATTTAAATAACCCTTTCCTGCGGCACTTGGCTAGTTTAGTCGGCAGACCATACGACTCTTGATCTCAGGGTTTTAAGTTCAAGCCCCAGGTTGGATATAGAGATTACTTAAAAATCTTTTAAATACCTTAAATAAATAAATACATAACACTTTTCTATGCTGACTAGATGGAGGAGCAACAAAATGAGGCTTAGGAAACCTGGCAGGAAAGTCATCCAGGCCATGCCTAAGTATCTCGGTATCTTCATCACTTGACGGCCAAGCTTGACCTCTGTGGAGAGGGAGGGGAGTTCCCGTTTTTGACGATGGAACTCTCTTAGCACCTCATCCGTGCCCTTCTCTCCTTCCCAGGAAAGGATCAGAAACATTCACAAAGGAAACGAACCATGTTCACTGAGAAACAACTGGCAGATTTAGAATTCTTCTTCAGCAAGAACCCATACCCCGCTCCCAGCCTTCAGAAAGAAATGGCCTCGAAACTGGAGATACATCCCACCGTACTGCAGGTTGGAAAATCAAAGCCCCACCCTGCCATGCCACCTCCCCAGAAGACCCCATGCTCAGAGACCCTGGGACAATTCCTGAAGCTTCATACCACTCCAGTCCCCAAGACTCCAAAGACCCAGACTCCTACCCTAAAACCCTCTCCCTGACCCCGAGAGCAAGGATCAGCAAACTTTTCCTGTAAAGGGCCAGGCAGTAAATATTTTAGGCTTTGTGGGCCATATGGTCTCTGCCAAAAATTATTCAACTCTGCAGGCATCAACCATATGCAGAGAAATGGGTGTACCTGCTGCATCCCTATAAAATTTTATGGACACACATTGGAAGTTCATATAACTTCCACATGTCCCAAATATTCTTATTGTGGGTTTTATTTCTTCCCCTCAACCATTAAAAAATGTAAAACCTGTCCTTTGGGGCACCTGGCTGGCTCCGTCAGAAGAGCACATGACTCTTGATCTCAGAGTCATGAGTTCGAGCCCCACTGGGTAGGTGTAGATGTTACTTTAATAAATAAAAACTTTGTGGGGGGAAAAACAACCAAAAAACCTGTTCTTAGTTCATGGGCCATACAAAATTACAGTTGCAGATCCGATTGGGCCATGAGCCTAAGTGTGCTGACATCAGTCTCTCCTGCTCTGGGGGTTCTGATCCCTGCCTCACTCTCTGTCCCCACCACCCCTCATTTCCACTCCCTCCTGGGCGTAGGCTGGGAGAGTTTCCAGCAACAGGATTCAAGTGGCAGAAAAGTGGAGCTAACTGTTCTCACCGAGCAGTATCCACGGTATCAGGTAAAATGAAAACATCTGGAGTCTCATTTTCTTTCATCAACCCACTGCTCCTCTTGCCTCCTTAGGTTTGGTTCAAGAACCACAGAGCAAAAGTCAAGAAAGCCAAACAACAGCAATTAGCTGGGGTGGAAGTCAAGACCAGCTCTTCCAAGAGACACACGGATGCCGCTCCAGGAGCCCCCGATGGTGCCTACCCTGCTTCCCTAGTTTATACAGATCACCCCATCCCTTCCTTCCAACTCAGCATATGCTCCAATTTTAAGGCTCTCTCAGACCATTCTTCTGGCCACAAAATAGTCCATTTCGGCTGCTGCCGAGATCCTAACATCTACTCCCTATGTCCCGTTACGGAATCCCAAATTCTTTCCACAAGCTTCACTGCTAATTCTTTGGGTTCTTCATCTCCACAAAGAACTTAGTGAGCAAAGCCAGACACAAAAGGTCACCTACTGTAATGATTCGCAATGATTCCAGACAGGAGACAGAGTCAGGATCTATGCAACATGAAGCCATTTCAGAAACGGGCTTCGTGAAAAATAAAAAAGACCCACAAGTTCCCGTGGGGTGGAACTGAGTGGCAAGAGTTGCTCAACAAACTATTGCGATGGGGATGTTTCATGTTGTAATTCGGATGGCAGGAACCTGCATGTATAAATTCATCCAAAGACACAGAACTGTAATATTGTATAACATACACCACAAAAAAAAAATCATGTGACAGGACGGAAGCATCAGCTAATGCCCCTGGCAGTAACCATTTTGCAATATATAAATGTATCAAATCAACACATCATACACCTTACACTTGTATCTCAGTAAAGCTGGAGACAATTTTTAAATTATATCTCAATAAATATATACAATGAGACTACTAAGGACAGTTTGGGGTTTTTTTTTTCCTCCTTCGTCTTGATTTTGTTTTTTCTTCACCATTGTTCAGCTAAAAAGACTTAGTCGATGTCTGTAAGTGGGCAGTTGGCTTATTTTTCTACTTTCTAGTTTTTCTTTTTTTTTTTCTGGTCACTTCCCCAGGCATCATTTTACGTCCTGATCACCCAAATACCTCCATTCCCCCAATCCTCCAATTTCTTTTTTTTTCATCTTCTCCCTCTATTTTTTTTTTTTTTTTTAAGATTTTATTTGTCAGAGAGAAGAGAAATCAGTGTGTGCTCCCCTCCTGGGGCAGATGTGGCTTTAGGAGGATTACAGTCTTCCCCCCCCGCCACTGTCTTCCCACCAGAGACAACCATTCCAGCATGCATTGTCATGTGTCTCATCCCACGGTGTGTGTTCTTCCACAGTATGCTCTCCTAAGCCCTCTATGGCACCCCCCCACCCCAGAAGGAACGGCCGCTTTGAATTTTTTGCCCGATCAGAAATTCCACATGACTGAAACATTCTGCAGGAACACTTCCATGTGGCTTCCATCACTTACATGTTATAAATGAAGTCCATGCATGTTGTGGACAGTACAGGGTTAACATAAGTACTCCTGGTCTAACACAGTGGTTCCCAACCAGGGGTGGGGTGACATCTGGCAGGAGACATTTTGGGTTGTCCCACTGAGGAAGGAGCGGCACCCTCTGGCATGTATCCAAAAGGATGCTGAGCATCTCACAATTCACAGGTCGGTCCCCCCACCACAAACAGTTACCCCGCCCAAAGTGTCCATAGTGCCAGGCTGAGAAGCTCAGGGATAGCCTGACAGACTGGCTATGAAAGTGGACAGGAACCAGAACAGAGCTGAGAGCTCTGACTCATAACCTCTGTAGCCATCAGCCCAAAAGGGCCCCAAACCACCAGGACCAGGTCAATGACAGAGAGGTTTCCTAATGTTTGCCACTACCCTCACTTTCACCATAGGACCAACCAGAAAAAGCCAAATATGTCCCTCTCACCAATCACATAGGGTACCCATAATTAATTAGATAATTGGGGTGTTAAATAATTCTGCCACTCCTCCCACAATCAGCAGAGAGATACTTCTACTTGTGGGACATTTCTCATTAACACAAATAATGATAGCTGATGGAGAAGTAGGATCCATACAGAACTACAGGTTAAAAACTTAATTCTTGGGCGCCTGGGTGGCTCAGTTGGTTAAGCGACTGCCTTCGGCTCAGGTCATGATCCTGGAGTCCCGGGATCGAGTCCCGCATCGGGCTCCCTGCTCAGCGGGAAGCCTGCTTCTCCCTCTCCTGCTCCCCCTGCTTGTGTTCCCTCTCTCGCTGTGTCTCTCTCTGTCAAATAAATAAATAAAATCTTTAAAAAAAAAACCTAAATCCTCCCTTTTTTTTTTTAAGATTTATTTGGGAGAGAGAAAGCAAGTGCACAAGCCGGGGAGAGAGGAAGACGGAGAGGGAGAAATAGGCTCCCCGCTGAGCAGGAAGCCCGTGGGGCTCAATCCCAGGACCCTGAGATCATGACCTGAGCCAAAGGCAGACACTCAACTGACTGAGCCACCCGGGTGCCCCTAAGATTTATTTGGGAGAGAGAAAGCAAGTGCACAAGCCGGGGAGAGAGGAAGACGGAGAGGGAGAAATAGGCTCCCCGCTGAGCAGGAAGCCCGTGGGGCTCAATCCCAGGACCCTGAGATCATGACCTGAGCCAAAGGCAGACACTCAACTGACTGAGCCACCCAGGCGCCCCCAAAACTTAATTCTTTCTTGGTCAGAATAAAGAACTCTACATCCTTGTTTATTCCAATGATGAAAAATGAGTTCAATTATTCTTTTTGGGGTTTTTTTTTTCAGTTTCATTTGGAACCCACAGATTTTTATATGTTCTTCGAGCACAGGTACCCACTGATTGCCTGGGACCTCACTCCAGAGTGCAAGCTGACCGTGAGCAGGAGCTCCCTTCCACGTCCCGCCCTACCCCAGTTCCTAGAACAGAGCCTGCCACCAAGTAGGTTTTCGAAATGTTTTTGAAAGAAAAACAGGAGGAGAGGGAGATTGGTGGAGACAATGAGTGGCTTTTTAGTGCCTTCAGATAAGAGTCCTTTCTTATAACTGAGCCCCTCCCACCACCTGCCAGCCCGGCAAGGCCCAAAGCTGCTGATGTGATAAGGAACACGTGAGGAGTTTTCAAAGCCCAGACTGCAGGAATGGAAGAAGTGCCGTCCCCAGAAGTGGGCGCTATTTAAACGACGGTCCAAAGTCAAGAGACACACCCACGCCTGAAGGGTCCAGAGAGATGCACCTCTTGAGAAGAATCAGAGACATCCCCAGAGGAAGTCCCTATGGTGAGCTGGAGGGGAGGGCTAAGGCTGGAGCCCACCAGGTGGGTGCGAGGCTAGGACCCCTGGGGTTGGGGGGCTCAGTGCCAGAAGCTTCTCGAAGCCCCAAGGCTGGGAACACTTGGAGACCCGACGCTGGGCTTTGCATCCTGCCTTCTAACCCCTGGTAAATGATGAGTGGAGGAGACCATCTCCACTGTGGGGATTTGCTTACCCTATTGTAGGCGTTTGCATAAACTGTGTGCTCAGATGTTCTCTCCATCAGCCCAGATGGAGCCACTGTTCATCTCCACTCATTGCGTGCTTTGCTTGTGGCTGAACTTGCAAAAAACCGAACCACAACATGGGAACTCATGTGTGTCTGTGTGTGTGTGGCTTCTTTCACTCACCATCTCACTGGTGAGACTCATTCATGTTAAAGTGAGGACAGTAAAAAGAGCCCTTGGGAGGGACGCCTGGGTGGCTCAGTCAGTAGAGAATGTTACTCTTGATCTCAGGGTGATGAGTTCGAGCCCCATGCTGGGTGTACAGTTTACTTAAAAAAAAAAATTAGGGGCGCCTGGGTGGCTCAGTCGTTAAGCGTCTGCCTTCAGCTCAGGTCATGATCCCAGGGTCCTGGGATCGAGCCCCACATCGGGCTCCCTGCTCGGCGGGAAGCCTGCTTCTCCCTCTCCCACTCCCCCTGCTTGTGTTCCCTCTCTCGCTGTCTCTCTCTGTCAAATAAATAAAATCTTTAAAAAAATAAAAATAGAAACAGCGCTTGGTAAACCTAATGCCAGATGATTTTCAGATTTCCCTGATGGTCCCCAAAGCAACTTCTTAAAGCTAGTGTGGGTTTTTGGTTTTGTTTTTTGTTTTGGTGCAAAAAGGTGGTTTTATTAAAGCACAGGGACAGGACCCGTGGGCAGAAAGTGCTCCCAAAGCTGGTTGTTTAAATCAGTATGCAAGTAATATGTGTCAGGGCTTAAATGCATAGAAACAGATTCAATCGTTCCTTCCACAATTCCTAGATAGCTTCTGCTTGTAAGAACTTTTCCTCGTCAATTATCACTAATAGTAATAATTGATGAGGCCATAGAATTCACACAGGAAATAGAATGTCTGTCACAAAGTAAGTTTTCAAGGAATATTCTAGAAAGGAAGAATGGTTTCCTAGCATCCTCAGAATGAGAGCCTTTCTTTTCTTTTTTTTTTTTCCATCAAATCCTGCTCCATCCCTTTCTACCACCTTCTAATGCAGTCTTCCCAAAACTGCCTGATGATGAGAATCACCTGGAGAGCTTCTAAAACCAGATTCCGGGACGTCTCACCTGCAGGGGGGCTCCGGGTGTGTGTTACATATGTGAGTGTGTGTCTGTGTGTACACATAGACACACACTAACAGGTACTGGGAACTCTCAGAAGCTCTCGTTAAGATCCAGGCCACCCATGTTTTCACTTAGCTTCACACGCATACCAAGCTCTGTCCAGGTTTTTCCTATATCGCCCCAAATTCTCTTCTCATGGACTGTCCCTTCCTCTCTGCCCTTTCGGTAGAAATGGTGACGCCTAAGGGAGCTTCCTTACCATTCTCTGTGCACTGTCTCTCCATTTCCAGACCCATCCTCACCTCCCTGATCGCTCGCACCTGCTGACGAAGGCTAGTTGGAAGGCAGGCAGGCAGGGACATGGGGCCCCACCCTAAGAGGAAACCACCCTTAAAAGGATTTTGCACCACCTCATGAGCCCTCCACCCTTTCCCATGTGTTACATAGATGACAAAAATCTGATTGGATGACAGGTGCAGGGAGGGTTAATCAGATTAAAACAGCCGGTCAACATGCCCATAAAAACCCCTAGACTGAGAACCTCTAGTGGTAACCCCTCTGGGTCCGCTCCGTCTTTAGGAGGTTTGTACCATTGCTTTGCTGCCCACCACTCTGGTTGTCTGGTCTACCTCTTCATTCTTTGAAGTGGCGTGACCAAGAAAATCCTGTAACAATTGCTGTGTTTGAACTGGGTTTATCGGGTGGTCTGGAGAGAGGGGGAAATTCACAGAGCAAGTCATCAGGGTGAGCAGGACTGGGGAGGATTAAGGATGGAAAAAAGTCTGGGTAGGTGTGGGCCGTGAACCGGGGGCTGGCGGACTCGGGCCTGGGTCCCCGAGGCTCCCAGCAGGCCAGTGATCTCATGACAAGAGCA